GCCTGCGGGGGCGGCCGCGGCAGCAGGCTGCAAAGCAAAGGGGGGGTGAGGCTGCCTGGCCGCCCCCGGGGGAGCGTGGCGGTGGAGGGGTGCCCGGGTGAATTTGGCATCTCACCTGTCTTTATGGACGTATTTGCTTTTTCCCCTCTTCTTCAGCTCGCAGGAGCTGCTCTCGCCCCCGCCGGGGGCTTTCTCTGGCAGCACCTTGCTGGGGGGGTTCGGCGGGACGCGGATCCGCAGGCGAAAGATGCATTTCTTCTTTTTGATTTCCTTCCCACACAGAAACCTGGGCAGCAGAGGGGAGGAAACAACCCTCAGCCGGGGTCGGGGGGGACACTCGCAGGAGCATCCCGCATCCCGTCCTGACCCCGTCCCACACCCCGCTGCGCCCGGGGGCTCACCTGCTTTTATAGCTGTTGAGTGCGTTGAGGAGGTGGGGGCCCCGCTCGGAGATGGGGGTGCCCGTCAGCTGCGGAGAGACAGCAGAGGTCAGGCAGGGCTCGGCGCCCGCTGCGGTTATGCAAAAACTAAACAGATGGGGGAACCCGAACTCCGGATTTCGGCTCCTGCCCAAGGTCAGGGAGCGAGGGACGCCGAAGGCCAGAGCCCCCCCGGTTTGGCACCGGCCGCCCTCGGTGCAGGGGACGGAGGCGGCTGCGGGGAACCGAGCCGTCCCGACGTGGGGACAGGTTTCCAACACGCCTTGGTTTTAGCGCTTCTACCGGCTCCAGCTCCAACTGGGAAACTTGTCTCAGGTTCAACAGGCGAACAAAGGGAAATCCCAGCACAGAGGAAGGTGATTAAGCTAATTTTGAGGAAGAACCGCCCACACTGAGCGCTACATGAACCAGGGTTTCACTGAGATGCTCGTCGAAGCGGGGCTGCTGGCACGGTGGCACTGCCAACCCGCGGGCATGTCCCTTTCCCCCATTCCCCCTCCGCCTGCCTCAGCCCCAGGAAAGGTCCCTCGGCTCTGCCCAGGGGCCGACACCATTCCTGGCTCAGGGAGCCGCATCTTCCACCGCTGACGCTGCCCGCTGGGGATGCGCTGCTCTGACGACACCCCGGGGTGGGTGAACAGCACACGGGAGCCACCACACGTTCCCAGTGGGTGCAAACGCCCCGGGCCGGGCACTCCTGCCCACCCAGAGAAACCGGGCAGGTGTTCTAGAGCTCCTTCCCTGCAGGGGACCGGCCGAGGAGCAGCCAGCCGGGGCCACGGTGAGCGGCGCTCCCAAAGCCCCAACCCTCCGCAAACCAGCGACACGCAAACACGCCGTGGGGCCGGCGGCTGCTGCGAGGAGAAGCCAACCCCACCGAGGGCAGACCTCACTGCCCCACCGTTGCACCGCGACCACCGCCCTTCGCCGGCCAACCTGCCCCAGCCTCCGGGGCTCCGCTGCCGCGGGGAAGGAGGGTCCGGTCCCTCCGAGCCGAGGCTTTGGGGACAGCCACCAAGGCTTCGGAGACAGCCACCGAGGCTTCGGGGACAGCCACCGAGGCTTACACCCCCGGCAGCACCTCTCCCTCCCCATGGCTGCTCTCCGGCTCGAGCCCAGGCTGTGTGTTTTTACCTTCCCAAGCTGCAGCAGATCCCAGTGGTGGTTCACGAAGGCCAAGATCTCCTCGAAGTCAAAGTACTTCTTCTTGCTCTGCACGCCCAGGTTGTAGAGGGCGAGATGGACGACATCCACCCTGCAGGAGCGAAGGGGGTGAGAGGGCTGGCAGCCCCCCCTCTCCCTGGCAGGACGGTACCCACCACGCTGTTCCGCTCTGCCAGCACCACTCCAGTGCAGCCCCCAGCACGACCCTCCCAAAACCTTCTCGCTGGAAACCGGGACCATTCCCACACCCCACGGAGGAAGCCACCCTGGCCCAGACACACATCCCACGGGATGCCACCACGGCCGGGACGGCATCCCCCAAGCTCTGGGGAGGGGTGCGATGCTGCCCACAGCCGGGGGGAGCCCCAAACGCCCAGACCCCCAAGCCCAGGAGCTGGAAGACATGCCGCTCCCAGAACAAACACCCAGTTTTCCAGCTGTTTAATAAGCCCCAGCCGTGTGCTCTTGCTGCAGTTAGGTACAGGAGCAGGACGGCTCTTATTCACATGAAAATACCCTGTCTATTTTAACAACCCAATCCATCCTGTGGGATTTTACACCTGCGTCTCTGAAAACATATCCTGCAGGACTTCCCTTATTCTTCTCCCAACTGCTCGGTGCAACATCCCCGAGGCAGCCGCATCCCGGCAGCCCCACAGCACCAGTAACACGGCCGATCACAAGGGGAGCAGCAGGGAAAAGCTGAGCTGCGGGCACTGTCAATACACTTTGCTAAGCGCTTTCAGACCATCGAGGTACGCTAGAAGGTACCACTTGCAAACTTGTATTTAATCACAGAGTTTGATGATTTGTCACCCGATTGCTTTTTGCGGTTATCTTCTGGCAAATGTGTACCTTCAGTCCCGGACAAACCATAGGTTTGGGGCATATCGAGAAAGAGCTTCCCTGGGAAACAGCCCTGTGGGACCGGGCCGGAGGAGCTACACGCCCGCGGCCGAGCAAAGGCTCAGGGCCGGGCTGGGATGAGCAGGAGATGCTGCGTGAACTCACGCTGCTGAAACCCAGCTCCGGGGCTGACCCCAAAAAGGGCTGGGAGGCACCAGGCACCGGCCAGCCCCAGCGCACCGCCACCACCCCGGCACATCCCAAAGGAGCCAGGGATGTTTCTTACCATCGCAAGGGGAGGCGTTTGATGTATTCGGGTCCCTGGTTGCAGACGGAGCAGAAAAACACATAGAACCTGGAAAACAGTGGGGAGGGAGAGCGCTGGGGGTGGGGGTCATCCCCACAGCCCTGCAGGGACGGGGGACGGGTCGGGGTGAGGACAGTGCTCCGGGTGCCAATGGTGACAATGTGGCTGGGAGGAGCAGGGCTTGCAGTTAGGTACAGGAGCAGGACGGCTCTTATTCACATGAAAATACCCTGTCTATTTTAACAACCCAATCCATCCTGTGGGATTTTACACTTGCGTCTCTGAAAACATATCCTGCAGGACTTCCCTTATTCTTCTCCCAACTGCTCGGTGCAACATCCCCGAGGCAGCCGCATCCCGGCAGCCCCACAGCACCAGTAACACGGCCGATCACAAGGGGAGCAGCAGGGAAAAGCTGAGCTGCGGGCACTGTCAATACACTTTGCTAAGCGCTTTCAGACCATCGAGGTACGCTAGAAGGTACCACTTGCAAACTTGTATTTAATCACAGAGTTTGATGATTTGTCACCCGATTGCTTTTTGCGGTTATCTTCTGGCAAATGTGTACCTTCAGTCCCGGACAAACCATAGGTTTGGGGCATATCGAGAAAGAGCTTCCCTGGGAAACAGCCCTGTGGGACCGGGCCGGAGGAGCTACACGCCCGCGGCCGAGCAAAGGCTCAGGGCCGGGCTGGGATGAGCAGGAGATGCTGCGTGAACTCACGCTGCTGAAACCCAGCTCCGGGGCTGACCCCAAAAAGGGCTGGGAGGCACCAGGCACCGGCCAGCCCCAGCGCACCGCCACCACCCCGGCACATCCCAAAGGAGCCAGGGATGTTTCTTACCATCGCAAGGGGAGGCGTTTGATGTATTCGGGTCCCTGGTTGCAGACGGAGCAGAAAAACACATAGAACCTGGAAAACAGTGGGGAGGGAGAGCGCTGGGGGTGGGGGTCATCCCCACAGCCCTGCAGGGACGGGGGACGGGTCGGGGTGAGGACAGTGCTCCGGGTGCCAATGGTGACAATGTGGCTGGGAGGAGCAGGGCTTTGCAGGACAGGGGCATCCGCTTGCCCCCGGGGCAGTTCATCCACATCCCCGGTGGCACAGCCAGATTAGGGAGATACAGACTGGGGACACATTCACGCACGAGTCCCTCTGAGAAGCCAGCTCTGACACCCCACACCAGCCAGCCAAGTTCAGAAGGGACGTACCGGTCTCCAAACATCATGGGGTCGCTGAGGCACTGGGTGCAGGCTTCGTGGAACCACTGCCGGCAGCGGTAGCACTGCAGCATCTTCAGGTACCACCTGGGGAGGGACAGGAGGTGGGTGACAGCAAGAGCAGGGTGCCCCAGCCACAGCCCCGGCCCCCTC